GTCAAGGGGCAAAAAATAAAAAAAAGGAGACATATGCCATACTCTTTGTAATACCTTAAGCAATAAAACAAAATTTAAAAAAAAAACTTTTCTAGGATGACACTAATGATATCAGAAAGCCAAACAGAAAAATCAAAGACTAATGTCTGGCCCCTCTCCTGGCCTCCCAGTCTTCTAGTACACAGCCAGCTGGCAAAAGAGAAATGTGCCATGCAGAGAGCCAGCAAGAAGTAGAGTACAGAAAGGTAGACTTGGAGTGGAAAGATAATAATAACTAATATACTAGTAAATCTTTTGTCCTCACAAACAACAGTAGCAACAACAACGAGTAACAGCAAAACCACAAATTGTCATCTGTGCTGTCCCCCTCAACTGCAAGAGTAGTGTCCTTGGTCTTTGCTCAAAATTGTAATAATCATGACAGACCAAAGCACATGGCTGAGTAGTTTATTTCCTAGGCTGCAAGAGGCCAAATACATAAATGAATTAGTTATGGTAAACACAATGCAGCTTAAACAAATTCCTCTTCAGAATATAGTAGCTTAACATGATAGAAGCTAATTTTCTCTGCGGTAGAAATTTCCAGCTGTTTTGGTTCAGAGAGTTGCTCTGCTCCAAATAGTAATTCACAGATTCAGGTGCCTTTCTCCTTCTTGTGCACCACCCTCTATATTCTCTTGCCATCCTGACTAAAGCTGGGTTGTGGGCTCATCCACCATCTAGCTCAGGGAAAAGAATTGCAGCCAGGTCAGTGTGACCTATGAACCAGGAGATCACTGTTCAATTCCAGGTCAGGGCACATGCCCAAGTTGTGGGCTCAATCCCCAGTAGGGGGCGTGCAGGAGGCAGTCCAATGATTCTCTCTCATCATTGATGTTTCTGTGTATCTCTCCATTCCTCTTTGCAAACAATAAAAATATATTTTTTTTAAAAAATTGCAGGCAACCATCACCAATAAGCTAGTGAAGATTTACACAGGCCATTCAACTCATATACTATTGGGAAAAAACTTAGTTAAGTGACTTGAAATAGCTGAGAGGCTGGAAATGTAACCTGGTCAGCTAAATATCCATGAAGAGGGGAAAGGATAAGGTGGACAACTTGCAGTTTGACAAGTACAGGTAGATAATAGACACATTTTCATTTCTCCCAAAAAGGCTTTACTCATATTTTTCTTCCCATCTCTTTCCCTGGACCTTAGGATCAGAGAGCACTTAAGTTGTACGGAGATGAACTACTGGTAGACCTTGAATTAAAGTAGAGCTGTATGCATGTTTGAACAAGTGTTTTTGCTTACAGGCAGTAAATAATGATGGCACTTCACCATCACAAATTCTTGCCATGACTTCTTTCTATGCAAAATTATTATGTAACATCTAGCAAAGAAGAAAATGGATGCAAAAATTTTATGTAACATTAGCAAAGAGGAAAATGGATGCAAAAAGGAACTTTACTTTTATGGTATTATGATTGTCACAGTTTTAGTCTTGATCCCCTTTCTGATTGCCAAACACATCCCAAACTTCAGCATGAAATAATCCTTGTAGATATATAGTCTAACATGTAATCTTCAACTTCACCATTTCATGATAAGCAAAACCAAAATAATACAATTTTCTACCTTTATACTCTGAAAAGCTAAGTTAGAACATCATTGTTTTAGATTTGGCAGAGCTATTTCTTGTTTCACTATAATAATTTCTTGTTTCACTCCGCTTCCAAGCTCAAAAGTGCATTTTTGGCCAATAAACATTGGGAGACTTTTGCAATTGTCAAAGGTTTCCTCTGCTTTGACCACTAGAGCTAACAACAACTACTGTAACTGCTATTCCTTTCTAGGTATAGGCCATTTTTTAAAAAAGAAATTTAAAGTCTAAGACAAACACCTTAAAATTACCTTCCATGCTGTTCCTTTTTAGCAGCTCTCCTGGGAATTAGAATTCAAATGTAGTCCTCCTGCTCTGATAAGTCCACAGTCACTTGATTAAGGGAATGATACCATTCTGTAGTACCCTTTTAAAGTCAATGCCATACAGGTCTACTGAGATACCTGACAACATCAGTTATTTTTAAAGTTTCTTGTCATCCCTGTATATCATTTTTTCCCACAGATTTCAGCAGTTCCTTAAAGATCACGTGGCTGGAGTCAAGAGTTTTTTAATCAGTGCATGTCGCAGACATAGAGAGCAAAAGAGTTTCCTGGCCTCTCAAGTTCACATCTACTTTGTAGGAGTTAAAAATGTTAAGCCAATAACACATATATGTAAGACATACAATTTTACCTTTATATAACCCGCCCTTTCTATTCTGAGCTTTATTCTTCTCACCATCGTATTCTTAGGATGTAGCCCAATGTCTAATACAAAATACGTGTTCTATAAATATTTTCAAACTGATAAATGCTAGGAATAGCCATACCTGAAAGACTAGTCATCAAAACTGATCTAAAATAAGGTATCTACAATTTTCCCTATAATTTAATAGGCAAAATCTAATGGTTGCTGGGGAAAACTTAGAATAGTAAGTGTCCTTCCTTAAAGTGTCACAGGGGGAATAAATGACCTCAGTGAATCCTACCTGAATCTAATAGGTTTATATTTGGACGCAATTCTGAATTTATTTACATGCTTTCTCTTTGGCCTGAAAGTGCTACAATCACTGTGAAACAGATATTTTAAAAGATTCCCTTTTCCACCCCCTTCCTTTATTATTATTATTATTATTTTTTACATAAATAACAGAAATAGCAACAAGGAACAAACTGCAATGTCCTGAGGACATTTGTCAGGGATAAAGATATTGTGCTTACATTGATGAAAACACAGCCATAATCTTCAACAGACTTTGCAATAACAGTATTTACATAACTAAATACAGCAGGGAACTCATTAAATGGCATAAGAGGGAATCAGAGCTGAATGTCTGTCTGCATTTACCATGTCCCTAACTAGGAATTAGTGAAATTCCACTTACAATATGATGAAGTGTAATTTGCCAACTCTAGTAAGTTTTCATGACTAAAGAGACTTCCATTTCCCTGTTCCTCTCAACTGAGATTCAAAAAGTAAAGACTAAAAAAGGTAAAAAGAGAAGAAATATGTTTTGGAAACTTGCTTAATATTTCCTTTGTATTTTGAATGGATGAAAATTGAATTGTTGCTGTTTTTATTATTGTATATAATTTAGGAACAATAGATGCAAATTTCAGTCTTTATAAATTACAGTTTGTAAGAAATCTCTCTCAATATTTTCCAAAGTCAATTTCACTAGCTTGCAGAAACTCAATCTTAGTCAATTAAGGACTTTTTTCCCAATTCCCCATGACGGTGTCTTAACTAGGTGAGCAGCCTCAGTAGTACCAAGCCTTTGAGTGCTGGTGGTGGACCGTCTTACATAGAACATATATGTCTACAGAGGCATCCAATGATATTCCTTCATTCCTCTGGTCCAAAGGGTACATGTAAGTTGCTGCTGGGTTGTCTTTCATTCCACTGTGAGCATAATTCTTCCCCCTTGGATCTTACTGCTCCTTTGGAAAACAAGAGAACCTAAATAGTAGCACAAATAATTCTAAAATTTACAACTGTTATAAGTACAGTGAAGAAAAGTACAAGCTGCTGTGAAAAAAACATAATGGCAAGGCCTAGACTAATTTAGGGGAAAAAGGAATGCTTTCTTAAAGAAATGATAATTGAACTGAGGTCAGAGGATGTGTAG